CCTCGGCAGACAACAACCAAGTCGTGACCCGGTACGAATGCCGCTCAGACCGTACATCGTGACAGAGTGGGCACCACGAGTCCGAAAAAACTCCTGCACGGATTTTTGTGCACATGTAGGCAGGAAAAATGGGATTCCTTGCGATCCACGTCGCGGCCAGAAATCGGGAACGACGACCCCGTCAGCCGCTCACGGAGCCGTCGTCTAGCCAAATTTTGCGAACAGGGTTTCGCACACTGGCGCCGACAAACCCGCGTCATCGCGAGAAGTCGAATAAGCCATATCGTTTAGAGAATGGAGAATTCGTAGAAAGAATTCTATAGGCGAACTTGAGAAACGATCATTGTCGATGTCTGCCCCGGCAGAAAACAGCGAAGTCGTGACCCGGCGTACGAATGCTACTCTGGCCGTCCATCGTGACAGAGCGGGCACCACGAGTCCCAAAAAACTCCTGCACGGATTTTTGTTCACATGTAGGCAGGAAAAATGGGATTCCTTGCGATCGACGTTGCGGCCAGAAATCGCGAACAACGACCCCGTCAGTCGCTGACAGAGCCATCGTCCAGCCGAATTTTGCGTACGAGGGTTTGCGCACGGGAGCCGATGAACCCGCGTCATCGCGAGAAGTCGAATAAGCGTTATCATTTAGAGAATGGAGAATTCGTAAAAAGAATTCTATAGGCGAACCTGCGAAATGATCATTGTCAATGTGTGCCCCGCAGACAACAGCAAAGTCGTGACCCGACGTACGAATGCCGCTCAGGCCGTCCATCGTGACAGAGTGGGCACCACGAGTCCCAAAAAACTCCTGCACGGATTTTTGTGCACATGTAGGCAGGAAAAATGGGATTCCTTGCGATCCACGTCGCGGCCAGAAATCGCGAACGACGACCCCGTCTGCCGCTCACGGAGCCTTCGTCCAGCCGAATTTTGCGAACGGTGGTTTGCGTACAGGCGCCGACGAACCCGCGTCATCGCGAGAAGTCGAATAAGCCTTATCATTTAGAGAATGGATAATTCATTGAAAGAATTCTATAGGTGAACCTGCGAAACGATCATTGTCGATGTCTGCCCCCGCAGACAACAGGGAAGTCGTGACCCGACGTACGAATGCCGCTCAGGCCGTCCATCGTGACAGAGTGGGCGCCACGAGTCCCAAAAAACTTATGCACGGATTTTTGTGCACATGTAGGCAAGAAAAATGGGATTCGTTGCCATCCACGTCGTGGCCAGAAATTGCGAACGACGACCGCATCATCCGCTCACGGAGCCATCGTCCAGCCAAATTTTGCGAACGGGGGTTCGCGCACGGGTGCCGACGAACCCGCGTCATCGCGAGAAGTCGAATAAGCCATATCGTTTGGAGAAAGGAGAATTCGTAGAAAGAATTCTATAGGCGAACCTGCGAAACGATCATTGTCGATGTTTGCCCCGGCATAAAACAGCGAAGTCGTGACCCGGCGTACGAATGCCGCTCAGGCCGTCCATCGTGACAGAGTGGGCGCCACGAGTCCCAAATAAATCCTGCACGGATTTTTGTGCACATGAAGGCAGGAAAAATGGGGTTCCTTGCGATCCACGACGTGGCCAGAAATCGCGAACAACGACCCTCTCAGCCACTGACGGAGCCGTCGTCCAGCCGAATTTTGCGAACGAGGGTTCGCGCACTGGCGCCGACGAACCCGCGTCATCGCGAGAAGTCGAATAAGACATATCGTTTGGAGAAAGGAGAATTCGTGGAAAGAATTCTATAGGCAAACCTGCGAAACAATCATTGTCGATGTTTGCCCTGGCAGAAAACAGCGAACTCCTGACCCGGCGTACGAATGCCGCTCAGGCCGTCCATCGTGATAGAGCGGGCGCCACGAGTCCCAAATAACTCCTGCACAGATTTTTGTGCACACGAAGGCAAGAAAAATGGGATTCCTTGCGATCCACGTCGCGGCCAGAAATCACGAACGACGACCCCGTCAGCCGATGACGGAGCCGTCGTCCCGCCGAATTTTGTGTATGGGGGTTCGCGCACGGGCGCCGACGAACACGCGTCATCGCGAGAAGTCGAATAAGCGTTATTGTTTAGAGAATGGAGAATTCGTAAAAAGAATTCTATAGGCGAACCTGCAAATGGATCATTGTCGATGTCTGCCCCCGCAGACAACAGCGAAGTCGTGACCCGACGTACGAATGTCGCTCAGGCCGTCCATCGTGACAGACTGGGCACCACGAGTCTAAAAAAACTCCTGCACGGATTTTTGTGCATATGTAGGCAGGAGAAATGGGATTCCTTGCGATCCACGTCGCGGCCAGAAATCGCGAACGACGACCCCGTCTGCTGCTCACGGAGCCTTCGTCCAACCGAATTTTGCGAACGGTGGTTTGTGTATAGGCGGCGACGAACCCGCGTCATCGCGAGAAATCGAATAAGCCTTTTCATTTAGAGAATGGAGAATTCGTTGAAAGAATTCTAAAGGCGAACCTGCGAAACGATCATTGTCGATGTCTGCCCCCGCAGACAACAGTGAAGTCGTGACCCGACGTACGAATGCCGCTCAGGCCGTCCATCATGACAGAGTGGGCACCACGAGTCCCAAAAAACTCCTGCACGAATTTTTGTGCACATATAGGCAGGAAAATTGGGATTCCTTGCGATCCACGTCGCGGCCAGAAATCGCGAACGACGACCCCGTCAGCCGCTGACGGAGCCATCGTCCAGCCGAATTTTGCGAACGGGGGTTCGCGCACGGGCGCCGACGAACCCGCGTCATCGCGAGAAGTCAAATAAGCCTTATCGTTTAGAGAATGGAGAATTCGTAGAAAGAATTCTATAGGCGAACCTGCGAAACGATCATTGTCGATGTCTGCCCCGGTAGACAACAGCAAAGTCGTGACCCGACGTACGAATGCCGCTCAGGCCAGATCACCATAAAACTACCCTTACTTTTTCATTTTTATTACACAATTGCCACTACTTTTTACACTAATACACCTATAAGGGCAAAAAAGTTTTTTATCCATATTTTTTACAAACTACGAATATAATATCAATATTTCTGAAATCTCATGTCCAACCCAATTAACACTATGTTTATGGGACGGAGGGAGTATATGTCTATATATTATTAACATAAATTACTTTTACAAAATTTAAAAGTATTTGAATGCTTATAAATATTTGATTGTTACTCCCTCCGTCCTAGATAAGATGGGCACGTTACTGTAGATACGAGAATTTAGATAAAATATAATTAATAAGTAATTAAAAAGTGTATTAGTAAAAATAATTATAGATTAATATTAAGATAACTAAATAATTTAATTAAGATTATAAATATTTTAAATTTTAAATTTTAAAATATGATTAAAGTGTATAATCAATTTTCCAAATAAAGAAAGGACAAATTATGTGGAACGGACGAAAATAGAAAATAGGGTCAAATATAAAATTATAAGTAAATCTCACCATAAAAATATTTAGAAATTATATGTTTGTTTTGGTTTAGATTTGAGTTTGAGTTTGTAATTAAAATTTTTGGTTTATCCCCCTTTGTTCTAGAAGAATAGACGAATTGTGTCGGATATAAAATTTAAAAAATATGGATATTATATTAATAATCGATAGAAAATATAAATTAATATTAATAAATGTAATAATAGTTTTATGGTTATACTCCCTCCGTCCCAAAAGAAATGTCTTATTGAGAGTTAGCACGAGAATTAAGGAATAATAATATTTAATTAAAAGTGGGTATAAAGTAGAATGTAAATGACTAAAATGTCCTTACTTTTTGAAAGATTTTAAAGAGTATTTTAGAGTAATAATTAGGGGTAATATGGAAAAGTAAGAATAATTTTGTTATAAAGTGGGGACCACGGCTACTAAATAAGAAAACAAGACAATTATTTTACGACGGACGAAAATAGAAAAATGAGACAAATCTTTTGGGACGGAGGGAGTATAATTATTTAGAAAACGATACTATTTTTTTAGGACGGATAAAAATAAAAAAATATATATCCTTGTGTCATCAAACCTTTCTTTTACAATGTGTTTGATCGAGGGTTTGGATTTTAAATTGGAATTTAAATAATAAAAAATTTGAATTTGAATAATTGCATGATGCGATACAAATATGTATTGATGTGATACTTTGAATGTAAAATTAATTTTTAGTATAATATTAAAAAATATGTATTTGATTTAATTTGATATTTTTTAAGAAAAAATTGAATGAATAGTAATCCTAGAAAAGAATCTTTAATCGAACAGACCTTTATTTAAATCGGATTGAATCAGTGATTCAGGTTTAAATATTAAATCAAACATATTATATATAAGGATGTTTGTGTTTTTTCACCTAAGCATCTCATCAGATACTTTGAAGAATTTAGTATTTTTATTTTAAATTATTTACAAGAATTATTTTAAATAATTAAGAATATATTAATAAAAATTATTATGGTATAATAAAAAATAATTATAAATCAAAATTAAGATAACTAATTAATTTAAGTAAAATAAAAAAATTTATAATAAAATTAAAATATATAATTTTTTTTAGAAAATAACAAAATAAATTAAATAAACAAAAATAAAAAAATAAACATTATAAGTGTGATGGAAAGAAATAATAATTTAAATAAATTTTTATCAAAAAAACCCAAGAAAGGACAATGGGAAAGGCTCATCTCTTTACACAAAGTAAACGGAAAAAGTAAAAATGTTACAATAGAGTTCCCGTGACCAAACTGCCTCGGACAGTTACCCATTGCAAGTTGCAGTAGTAACTGCTGCTACTGCAAACCTTGGATTCATCACCAGCCTGTCGTCCTAATCAGTGGGCCCTACGTCGGCACAGACAAATGACAACTACTTAACACAAAATATCCTTGCGTCATCAAACCTTTTTTGTGGCCAAAACCCCTGCCACGTGTCGCCACCACACTCGTCCCCATCCAGATTTCCCTGTTCCATACATACCTAGATTAAGATACACACACTCTGACATTCAGAGTACATTTCATTTCAATTCATTTCATTACAAGTCCTGACTCCCGATTCTCTCTCTCTCCCTCTGCTTATTCTCTCACCATTTTTGCTATGGGAATTCAATTACACGACGCCGGCGCCGGCGGGACCTCCAGGTCCAGATTCTTCCCGGCGGCGGCCTGCCGCCTCTGCGACTGCTGCAAATCCGCCGCCGCCGTTCTTTTCTGCCGCCCCGACTCCGCCTTTATGTGCCTCGCCTGCGACGCCAAAGCCCACTCCGCCGGCGGCGGCAAGCACGGCCGCGTCTGGATGTGCGAAGTCTGCGAGCAGTCCCCCGCCGCCGTCACCTGCAAAGCCGACGCCGCCGCCCTCTGCGTCACCTGCGACCGCGACATCCACTCCGCGAACCCTCTCGCCAGCCGCCACGAGCGCTCCGCCGTCGTGCCGTTTTACGATACGGCGGAATCCGTCGTGATCAAATCCACCGCCGCCGCCGCCACCGTCCTCCTCCTCCACTCCCCCGACGCCAAATTAGACGCCGCAATTGATGATCACACCGCCGGCGGCGATTGGACCAATCCGATCGGCCCAATTGTCGACCAATCGAAAATCCCCGCCGACAATTTCAAAGTTATGGAATTGCTGCTCCAAGATTCCGACCAATTCCTCGATTTCGACAACTACCAGATTTCGTCGCAGCCGTACAGCGACAGCGTCGTCCCCGTGCAGTCGAACCCCAAACCGCCGGTTCCCCCCGGACCGGTGTCGGAAAACCGGTTCGAGATCGATTTCGCAAGATCCACCATAAATTCTTACAACAACAGCAGCTTCGCCGCCGCTCCGTCTCTCAGCCACAGCGTAATTACCAATTCTAAATAATCAATTCCATAATTAATCCCCAATTCGCACAAATTCAAAATTAAAAATCGCCGCAGGTCTCGTCGTCATCAATGGAGGTCGGCGTCGTGCCGGACGGCGGCTCCCTGTCGGAAATCTCCTATCCTTTCTCCCGGAACATTAATTACGGCAGCGGCGATCCCACCGGAAACCACCAGGGGTCGTCGCAGGTTGTGAGAATGGATAGGGAAGCGAGGGTTTTGAGGTACAAGGAGAAGAGGAAGAACCGTAAGTTCGAGAAGACGATCCGTTACGCTTCCCGGAAGGCGTACGCAGAAACCCGGCCGAGGATCAAGGGCCGGTTCGCGAAGAGAACCGACGCCGAGTCGGACATGGACCGGATCTTCTCGGCGAATTTCGTGTCCGACGCGAGATACGGCGTCGTTCCGTCGTTCTGAATGAATAATGAATAGTTTTTCAATCAGATTATTACATGCTTATAATGTACTATCAGTTCAAGATTAGATTTTTAAATTTTTTTTTTCTCTTTTTTTTTTTTTTTTGTCATTTTTCTTTCTACTTGTGAAATAATCCATAAGATATAAATGTTTATCGAAACATGTACTGCTTTTATTCAGTTGAATTTCGAGCAAAAATGGTAATGCTTATAATTAAATTATTGTCCTTCAACCTTGTCTCCATCTGCCGCCCTTCTTCATTTTATTCAAGGGCTTTTCAGTCATTTCGCGCTCTACACTTAAGTTGTAGTAATTTAATCTTTATTATAATAAAATATTGTTAGGGATAAATCAATAGCATAATTTTATATTTTATTAATTTAATAGGCCAGCATATACGATATTTATTTATTTTTGCCATTGTGCACAGGGAAGTGGATCTAAATCTGGATTTTGGTTGGCTGAGGGGTCTTTTTCATTTCCCAATTTAAATAAAAATATAAAATATACATACGATTTATTTTTTGGACTTTTTATTCAGAGAGGAAATGACGTGATTGATTAATGCATACAGTTTGGCTTTCTGATTGACAAATTAAAATTTTAAAAAATTAATAATTAATTAATGGATTAATTTTTAATCTGATCCAATCACAGCTCACCAACATATCCACTGATCACCATATGACCTGACCTGTTTCAGCACCCAACAAAGTTAGGTATATTTAAATATTAATTTATTACTATTATTTTTTTGAGTTCAATTATTTGGGATTTTTTATTTGGTCAATTTAATAATAATTTGCTTCAAAGGGGCAAAAGAAAAAAATATTCAAAATTAATTAATTGGGACATAAAAGGACTTTTGAAATTGTTCTCCAACTTTCTGAAATAATTTCAACTAATAAATTGTTGATAGAGAAAGGAAAAATAAATTTAAAAATTTGGTCAGCTAAATATAGCAGCCCGCAAAATTTGAATTTTGACGTGGTGGAATTAATTTTATTAATTAAAAATTCATTTAATTTTTTAGTCATGGTAAATTATTATTTTATTAGTATTCATATTGGGAATTAAACAATAACAAATTATATAATACTAAAAATGTCAGCATAAATGCATACCACTTTCCAACTATGTGCAAGCAGGTGTATTAATGAAACTACATATGCTAGAGAACAATAATGTTAAAAAAATTTAAAAATAAAAAAAATATATAAAATATAAATAAAAGCAAGGACAATTATACCTATGTTATATGTTTAAAATAAATGTGTAGTTTGTCTAGTAAATTTTATCCTATTTTAAATTTTTTGGAAGGGTAAATTATACTCCCTCTGTGCATTTATAATTATCTTAAAGTATATTTGCACGATTTTTAGGTAATTGTCTTTTTTGTATAAATTGATAAATTTATCCTTTATGATAAGGTTGAGATTGAAAGTGATAAATAAATGAAGGATAAAAAAATAAATTTTGTATTTAAAAAATAAAATATGACAATAGTTATTGGATGTCCCAAATAAGAAAATAGGACATTAGTTTGTAGACGAAGGGAGTATAATATTTTTTTTGTGTTTTAGTAAAAATGCATAAAATACCATATATTTTATTTATTACGTGAAACTCCTTATGTTAATTTAAAGTTTGTACAAAACACCCTCTGTGTTCAAAGCTGATGATTGGACGAAAAATAGTGTTTCGTACAAATTTTACAATAACATAAGAGATTCACGCAATAAATAAAACACAATGTTGTTTATGTATTTTTACTAAAATGTAATAGAGTGTTATATAATTTACCATTTTTTAATAGATTAAGAATAATATTGGTCAGTAAAATTGTATTAGATAATTTTGATGTTTTTATTATTTGTACTTTACATATATATATTTATTGTATATATAATGGTATCTTTGTAATATATGTAAAAATTAAAAATATTTTAGTATTAATAAGTAAATATATTTATTGTAATATGATGATTTTGAGTAAGATAAAAAAAAATGATTTAGAAAATATGCTTCTAGTCATTTATCTTAAAGGGGTTTTTTACTTTTATTTTTATTTTTTCATTTTCTATTTTAACACTTTTTAGCTAAAACAATGTTACTTTATATACAATATTGTGAATAAAAATATATATGTATATTGAAGATTATTCTTTATGAATTTTTTTTTAGAAGATTGGATAATAAAAATAGGTCGAAGAAATATAAGTAAAGAAGCTCTAATTTAGTGCATTGACACAGACATGTATTCATGGTCGGTCCGAAATTTGTAAAGACTGTAGGGCGAAATAATAATAAAGATCTTTGAGGGGTCTAATCTTCATAAATATTATACATAGAATAAATTATTATTATTATTATTATTATTATTATTTATAAATTATGATCTTTAGATGGTACTTTTTAAAGTTTTTATTTTTATCTTAAATTGACTTTTAACTTTACATATTTAATTTTAAAATCTGATTTGTCTCTAATTATTATTCTATTTGAAACTCGATATGGAATATTTTTATTTTTATATACTCCCTCCGTCCCATAATAAAGTATACATTTTTTTATTTTAATCTGTCTCATAATAAAATATTAATTTCATTTTTTCAATAAATGTACTATCTACTTAATATTACAAATACCCTTACAACTTACAATATATTACACAAATGTTATTACATTTATATCACACGTACTAATAAGGTTATTTTAGTAATTTCTACTTTATTCCTACTATATTTTAATATAATAATAATATTTATAAAATTACGTGAAAAAAAAAAATTGATATTTAATTATGAGACGGAGGGAGTATGTTTTATACAATTACAAAAAATATTATTTAATTTTTAATTGTTTATATTTAATTCTACATTTATAAAAAGTACACTAATAATATTAAAATATTACTTTTATAAATTTCGGTGACAAAAATTTTTGAATATATTTTAGAAAGAATTGTGAAAATTAACCAATAGAAAAAAATTGTTAAACAAACACACATAGAGGTGTGAAATAGTGTATTGTTTTTAAGAATTATGAAAGGTCAATATTGCATTTTTTAAAAAAGATTGTTTCAAACAATAGAGTCTTGAAAAGTATGGCCCCAAGTCCGACTCTGTTGATTATTAGTGGGGCTTTTTTTTTTTTTTTTTTTAACGTGTATTTTGAGTTTAATTTTCTTTTAAAAAAAAAAACAATTCTTTTTAAATTTTATTATAATATTTTCTTCGTATGCAACAATCACAATTTTTTATAAAATTATAGCACTTTAGTATAATATTATTCATTTCGTCTGCTATAATTAGATCAGATTTTATATTTTAATTGTTCGTTAAATTTGTACATAATTTATTTAATAAATAATACATACTTTTATTATTATTATTTTAATAAATAATAATTAATTTGTCATTATTTTTTATATTTATCTTACTATTTTTATCAATTTTTTTTTAATAAATTTTCTTTAATAATTCAAAGATCAAAACTAAACTCCAAGAAACACACCATTGTGTTTCTTTGGTTTTTCTTCTTAATTTTTCACTATTTGAATTTTATTTTTTTATATGAAATATCAAATTAAATATTATTTAAATATAAAATTTAAATCAAATAACTTTTAATTTAAACTCAAAAAAATGCATCAATATATTTGTATTGATCTGTAAGGCCAGTCTTCGATCGTGAAAGACACCCGATGTGCTGCGGCAAAATCGGGTTTTTGGATACAAAATAGATAGATATATTCTGTATAGATATTGTGTGAAAGCAACAAGCAATAACGATAATGGACACATGTGGGCTCCAAACCCACATGACCTTCACGTGCGGTGTGGGCCCATATGTCTGCACTACTTTGGTCGGGGCCCAACTTGGCCCGGCCCAGTCAACTAACCATAATCCCACTTGTTCGTTTGCCGTCTAATGTCCTGTCCTTTCCGCAATTTTGTCTTATTACAGACACACTCGAAAGGACCGGGACTCATTCTCGGAAGCTCCATGGAGCATTGCACCGGTTCAATCAATACCGTTCATTTGGCGAACGGTGAGGATTCACCTTGTGATGGCCCTTGAGAGTTGCCGGTGGAGTAAGTCTATAAAACAAACCAGCTGTTTCCGAGTCCAAAAGCTCCTTTTGAATTTTATAAACGACCAAGAAATAATAGTATTTATTAGTTAGTGAAAGTTTTTAAAAGTTTTAATATTTTTGTTATTTGATTATGTAAAAAGTAATTGCATGTGTAACAAAGATATTTTAATATTGATATATGATTATTTTTATCAAAATAAAAAATGAATAATTTTGAGTGAGACGGACGAAAATGGTAAAAAAAAGTACTTTAAGTTGGGACAAAGGGAGTGATATTTTATTAGTTAATGAAATATGTAAAATAATTTTGATATTTTTATTTTTATAGATACAAAAAAATAAATAACTATTTTTGTAAGAAATTAAGAATATTTTGATATTTATATATAGATTATTTTTAATTTAGTAAAAAAATAATATTTTTGAATGTGGCAAAAATATACATAGAATTGAAACAAAAATTACTATATATTATAAATAATGTAAAAGAATATATTAATTAAATATATCTTAATTAACATATTGATCATAAACAAATTGAAAATATGTAAAATCATTTATCAAGTCCTAACTCAAACAATCGAATCAAATTTATAACAATTCAAACAATCTTCCCTTTCCAAACCAAGACAACATTCATCAGAAAAAGGATTCATGTTCTTCCCTCGAGCATCATCGTCTATAAGAATCTTGCAACCTTCGAGCTTCCAATGCTCCAAACACACCATACACACTACTCTCATCCCCATACTTTCCATATTCATCATCCTCGCTCGTTGGATCGTCGGCCGCCATCAAATCCGGGCCGTACGTCACCCCTTCTATCCTCGGCTTGGGATCATCGCCACCGCGAAATGGATCGCGAGTGCCGCCTCTTAAAAGTGTCACCACTTCCTTCATTGTTGGCCTCTTCTCTGGTTCACTTTGCACGCACAATGCTGCCACATTGACCATTTGCACAAGTTGGGCCTCGTCAAAATTTCCGCCGAGCTTCGGGTCGACGATGTCCTTGAACCGCCCACGGGCTATATATGGCTCAGTCCACTCTGTGATGGTCCTCTTGATCCCACCGGGGAGCTTCTCGATCGGTTTTCTACCCGTTACGATTTCTAGCAAAAGTATCCCGAAGCTATACACGTCGCAACTCTCGGAGACCTTCCCCCACATTGCGTATTCGGGGGCTAGGTATCCCAATGTTCCCTTAACCTATTGAAAGTAAGTTCGAGTTGAAATAAATGAGACGTGTTTAGAGTGAAATTAAAATTTCAGTGAATAGTAAAGTGTGAGTTTAAGTTAATCATATTGTTCTGTTTTAGTCGATTATGAACTAAGTCTACTTTTCTACACAATAATTACAAAACGAAGCTAATTTGTAAATTACGATCTTACCCTTGTTGTCATGTGGCTAACGCCTTCCGGGATTAGCTTTGCGAACCCGAAATCGGCGACTAATGGCTCGAAGTTGGAGTCGAGGAGCACATTGCTCGCCTTGACGTCTCGATGGATTATATGTGGCGTCACTTCGTGATGCAAATATCTATATATATGTATATCATCAAAATTAGCAAAAAAAATCGACTACTATCTTAAGATCTCGGTTTGGAGTACGAGCAAATAATGTAATAAGATGGAAATCGTATTACACTAGGCCCTCGGCGGATCCTATAGCGATTTTGACTCTCTTCTTCCAATCGAGGCGAGCTTCACCGGCGCATTGGCCATGTAAATGCGACAACAAGCTCAGATTAGGCATGTAGTCGTAAACAATGAGTCTTTGATCACTCCCAGCACAGTATCCCCTAAGCCCTAGCAAATTCTTGTGCCTAACTCTTCCTAATACCTCGACTTCCACCGCAAACTCCATCTCCGCCTTTGATGTCAACGACTTCAATTTCTTTACGGCAATCTACGCATACATACACTCGTACAATATTAGGAAGTGATTTTACTCCGATTTACGACACACTAGTCTAATAAATTCGAATCTTTATTACAACATATCTATGAGACCTTATGTACTAGGTTTGTCGACAACAAGAGATTATCGCATTATTGGTTTCTTACTTGAAGGCCATCCGATGTTTTGCCCCAATATACGCTTCCAAAGCCCCCTTCGCCGAGCTTGTAATCGTCGCTAAATCCATTCGTCGCCGTGTGTAGTTCTTTGTACGTGAATATCCTCCATTGGTTGACATCGTCATCTCCCCCGAACGTTAACCTGCTTGTAAATTATTCGAATTCATAAATTCTCTAATACCACTAGTTAGAAATATATGAACAATGAATTTTATGCTCCATTGGTTGACATCGTCATCTCCTCCGAATGTTAACCTGCTTGTAAATTATTCGAATTCATAAATGCTCTAATACCACTAGTTAGAAATATATGAACAATTAAATTTATATCATGAAATATGAGAATACTTAACTTTCTCTTTATATACAAAGTTTGTTACTATTCATCAACGATAATTTTATTTTTTAATGTTACATCAAATATCTATTTCATCTTGCAAACAATCATATAATATAAATAACTTTTTACTATTGCTATAACTCTTCAAAACTAAAAATCTCTCGCCACTAAAAAATAACAAAAGTATTTAAACGATAAGCGAAATAAATATCGAAAGTTCAACAAATTACAGAAACCTTATATTACAAAAGAACTATACATGAAAGACACATCGATGCGACCGAAGTTACAATGTCTACCTCACGTACATATTTTACGATGAACCCTTTCACATTTTTCCCCAACAAAAATCGAAGTTTATTTGAGCATGTTTAAACTTGGATTGCATAAAAACAAATTGTAGCAAACTAGCAAGACATTATTAAAAAATGCTAAAAACATACGATCAAGGAAGGTTTTATGCAAGAAGATAAGAATAGGAAGTGTGTGTGTGAATACCCTTCGTCGACTTTCTCGGGTGTGCAGCAGCTGAGGGAAGTCCCCATGGCTGATTTGATTTGATCTGATCTGATAATTAAGGTTGTTCGAAGAAGACGAGGAAGACAGACGATGGGCTTTATAGCATTTCCACAGAGAGTATTTGTCGTTTTCCATTAGCTACACTGCCGCCCTTTGCCGGCAACTGATTGATCATATTTATATTGGTGACGATGATCATGAAGATTCTCTTGTTTATGTATTCTTATTATTATTATTTTGTCTATATGCCTTTTGTCAAACCTGCAGCATCAACTACCTCTTTGTTTATGAATTATTTTTTAAATAAATAAAATTATTACATGAGAATGATTAGACTGCTTCTTGGTAAGATGTTAATTAGCTCAATCAGTTAATAGAAACATAGGGTTTGTTTATTTTGTAATTTTGGATGAAATTGTTATTTTATGTTAGTATAAAGCATTGTATTGTAAATATAAAAAAAAAATAATAGTTTATATTGAATTGTTGATATTTTGTGAGTATATAAAGTATATATTATATATATATATAGTGTGAATGTATGTTTATTGTATTTTTAAAATACTCCATTCATCTTCAAATTTACTCTCATTTTTTTTTAAGTGTATCCGTTAAATTTACCTCATTACTAATTTTTGTAAAGTCAACAAATTAATATTTAATTATTATTTTCTATTTTAATACTTATTTATAAGAAATGTCTACCTTTATTGCATTCTCTCTCCTCATTTTTTTTTAATTTCTAACTTAATTTCCAAAAATACTCTCAACTATCTTTTTATTTTTATTACTTTTTCAATAAAATATTCATTTTTTTAATCTCCGTATCAGACCCAAACGTTCTAATTTTTTAGGATAGAGAGAGTAATATATATAAGGAATCGTCCTACTTAAAAACATTCAATGAACTAACCCATAATAGATATATGTAAAATAAAACATTTAACATGTAGATTATTAATATGTATTGTCTGTTCTATTTTTCATATATTGTATGTATTAATATTTTGTAGGTGGCGGCTACAGCAACACATGGTATCCTATTTGACAACACATGGTATTATTACATAAAATATATTGTATATGTTAATATAATACAAATACATCACATGAACAAAGAACACATGATATAGTTTTAACAAAATATCGTGTACTGTTTGACAACACACAATATTATTACAGACAAAATATTATATATGTTAATATAATACAAATACAACACACTTATAGTCTCATACAACACACACAATAATTAATTTTAACACATAATATACTCTAAAAGAACACATTTGTTGGCACATACATTTATTATATACACAACATGTGTTGTATATAATAATATTGTGTATAGTTCATATAGCGTGTGCTGCGCGTTGGAAAATCAGCACGGTGCTGATTTTGTAATATCAGTTGATATATTGTATTTATATTATATATTGTATTGTCACTTTATATTTTATATATTTGTCGGTATATATTATATTTAATATGATGTCGGTGCTGATTAAATATAATTAGGTAAGTCCATGTATATATATTTATAATATGAAAACCCTCTAGTTTTTTTTTTTATTATTTTTTTTTATGACGTGTGAACTCGCAACGGTTACACTTTGATTGCATTTTGTGTAAAATAATGTATATTTTCATATAGGCTTTGTAGGGTTCAATTTTAATTTGACCAACAATGGCAAGAAATTATAATATGCATATTTATCTATATTGCAGGCATAAATCTTAGTTTAATTATAAAAAAAAATGTTTAGAGAATGGGTTATTATTAGATTGTTGTATTGGAGAGAGTATATTATAATAGAAAAGTATGATGATTGTTTATTAGAAAAAACATAAATCAATTAATAGAGAAGTTTATTATTATTATCATATTATTTAAAATCAAAATCAATATTATTCATCTGGTCTAATTTTTAATAAAAATATACTCAAGTTGTCTCTCAAATTTGTTCTAAAAAATTTTCAAATGAATGTGATTTTGATTGATATTTTTTATTACTTTTTGTTATTTATAGTAAAAAATATATATATAAAATAGTATAACTTTTTTATTAAATAAGGAAATGAAAATATTTTTAAGAGACAAATACATATGAAAAATGCATAATTTTAAGAGATAGGAAAGTACTATTTTTATTCATAAAATATGATATTTAATAAAACATACTCACATAATTTTAGCACCTATCCAACCTTTAATTTTATTGGGAAAAAAAAAATCTTATACATTAGAATGAAAGAAACTATATGGGCCGGTTAAAAATAATTGGGCCTTAGGTTTCTATCTTGGAAGCCCAAAATAGTTCATATCTAAAGCCCAAATGTTTATTAATTAAATAAAGTGATATTTCACATTGCAAAATAAATTACTAGAGTTTGCTTTGTAAGAATATAATTTCAAAATATTTTTATTTAAAAAAAATATTCAAGTAAACAATTCTATATCTGACTATTGTTTTCATTTCAACATATTTAAATTTAAAACATTAAGAATATACCCAACCAAATTTAAAAATACATCCTTAATTCATAAACACACTTATATAAATACAATATACTTCATCTGGATTAATTATGTAATTTTGTTTATAAAAAATAATAACAATAATAATAGTATTTTAATATAAGAGTGAAGTAGATAAAAAATAAAATAAAAATATATTCAGTAAGTCAAAATAAAAGATTAATATCTCTTTGGTCATATTTTTTTTTATGTAAAGATTAATACTCACTAAGAAAATTTGCAAAAAAAAATAATAATAAAATTGTATATCTCATTTAAAAGTATTATTTTTCTATCATAGTAAAAATACTTTATATATAAATACCAAAATATTTTTAAAAATAATTTTTTTTTTATGCTTGTAAGGGTAAAAATAAGAGAAAGATTTGTATGTTCAATAAAATTTTGACATTTTATACTTTTATTAAATAATAAAATACTATTATTTATTAATTTAGTACAAAAGATAAAAATATACATTAAGCTGAAATGAAATAAACATTTTTTTATTTATAAAATATTAAATCAAAATATTATTTAAACACGTATCTAAATTACCATTTCAATTTCAAATCAAAATCAAACAAATCAGCTGCGTTTGTGTCAAATAAGTAGAATATTTGATCAAATATTATTGAATTCACACTTATTAAGTAAATAAAAATCATTTATTTATAAACGCTTTACATGATAGAATACTATCCCATTGTTAATAAAGAGAAAAAAAAAAAAAAAAAAAGTATGTTTTAAAATTAATTATTTATTTAGTAATATTTTAATTAAAATTATTTATAAAAAAAATAAAAATAAAGAAGACGTGACATCATCTTTAAGTATATATTTGCAAAATTAATGATTATTAAGTGCTCCAAAAATAATGATGTCCAGTCGAGGAGACAGTGCATGATGTGGTGTACAACACTACATCTACACCCTCTACATAATTTTTATTTTTTTGTATTATTTATTTATTGAAAAAGTATATAGTACTATATTGTAATTATATCGAATAAGATGAGTACTTGTTTGATTTACTTTATATCCTTTAAATTAAAATGAAATAGATAAAAACAAATTAAAAATATATATTGAAAACAATTTCTTATTATTGGCACCCAACATTTCGTCTTAAATCATTATAGTATAAAAATAAATATATTTCTATGGAGAACCAAAAGAGTTTTTATTGAATATTATAAATAGCTTTTTTCTTTTTCTTTTTTTTTTTCTTTTTTTATCTTAAAGATCAAGATTTCTTGCACTATTTTTTTTATTTTCTCTTTCCTTGCTAGAAGTATTTTTTTATTATAATAAAAGTAATTTATAAATATTTTTAAATTTTTTTAGGACCAAAAACATTTTTGCATGTCAGATTCGGATCAGATTTTCGGACCATGTCTATTTTTGTCAAATCTAGTATTTTTTAAGATATATTATGATAGGAGGTTAAGTCGGAGTTGTAATTATTTTATATTCTGTAATCAACATTGATCAGTAAAATTTCTTGTGAATTGAAACCCCTCTAATGTAAGAGTATTTTTTGTCTATATATTTTATTGCACTGCCTACTATATATAAAATATTTAATATTTTTGACTCTATATATAAATCCATTAATACGAAACGGGTTTAATAATATATTTGTAAGAAAAATCACTCGCACAGTCAAAATACTGAAAAAATCATCAAATAAGTTAAAGAAATAAAAAATAAAAAATAAAAATTTGTAACAAGAATTAGTGACATGTTCATGTGCCCACTAATTTGTTTGGCCAAATTTTAAGCAAATGTATTGCTAAATTATGGGCACACTTTTTTTTGTCCAAAATTTGTTCTACTTAATTAATTCAACAACTTTTTGACATGTGAGAAATTTATATTAACTACTTTCTTTTTCCCCACATGTTAAAAATATAGTAATATCTAAAGCTATATTTTTATTTAAATATTAAATTAAAATTATTGCTATTAAAACCTATTTCATATACATTACAGCTGTTTAGCGGGAATCGGTTTCTTTTTTTTTAGCGGGAATCGCTTGAGGCCGCAGTTCGCCGCGGCTAGAGAGTCTATATTTGGGGTCATCCACGTGCCCATCCTCAGTCACGTGACCTCTTCAAACAACAACTAATCCAGCTATCCATAGATTTATTTTGTTAATTTTAATAAATAATTAATAGTCCATCAGTCATAATGCGTGTTCATTTGATTATGTATGAATTTTTAATAAAAGTGAGTAATATTTATTATTTTTTATTTTATAGTAAAAAATAGTATAAAAGTGGAATAATTTTTTACTTAAAAAAATGAGAATATTTTTTTGATAACAACCCAAAAAAAAAATGAACATATATTTAAATGACGGATGAGAAAGTATATATTTTTTAATTTAATAATTACTTATATACATTAATAAAATATGCTCTAAATCCTCTATAATTATGATATTTTTTTAAAAAAATTTACTCGCAATGCATTTATAGTAAACAGTGTCTATTTATAATTTTATTATATTTACTTAAATAAATAATAATTATTTGTTATTAATTTTTATTTATAAATTACTTTTTATATCAATTTCTTTTTATTAAACTTTCAAATAATACACCAACTTTATTTTTTACATATCATTTTTTTTAATTTCCCTACTCAAACAATATAACTTATATAATTAATATGAATGGAGAGAATAATATTTTATTTTAGTTAAAATTATAATTATATTATCCTTTAACAATCCATTAAGATAAAAAAAAAAAGTAAAAATTAAAAATAATATTAAAATTTTAAAATAATAAAAATAAAATATTTGATAATTATAAGAAGAAATAAATACAGTATTTTATAGAAGTATAATATTTTTGGAAAAACAATGATAAATAGTCCTTTCATCTACTGAACTTATGTCTATTTTTTTATATAAAAAAATTATATTTTTTATTTATAATAAATAATTTATGCACGTTCCTTAATTTATACATTTTAGTATTATATTTATTTATAAAAATATAAAAATTACTTAGAAATTTAATTTGTATAAAAAAAATCACATAATTAACTCAGTCTATATTTATTTTTTTCAAAACAATCAAATATATTTTCTAATAAAATTAATACATTGTACATAGTTATTAATTTTATATTACTTATGCAATTCTCTATATCTAACATAAATATATATCATTTCAAACAATTTTACAAAATAAACACACCATCGTTTATTTACTTTATAAAATATTTGTATTTTATATGAGAATGAACTAATATATAATTAATTGTATATTCATTAAAAATCGGAAGTAGTAAAAATTTCATGTATGTTTCTTTACCCAAAATTTTTCAAATTCTACTGTTTAGACTCTGCGTTTCTCAAAAAAAAAATACATTTTTTTTTCTGTTACAAAATATCTTATCTAGCGTTATTTTAAAAATACATTCTTCTTCTTCGAAACGAGTACCTCTTCATCATCATCATCATTACGCACACTCTTGTCTGCTGCAAATCCATGCTGTGGTATTCTAAAAATAAATTTTACAATAAAAAAATCCAAGTATTGAGAGATAAAAGACAAAAATTTCTTTCAATTATTTTTTCCCAGAGCTCATTTCTCATGTCATTCTATAGTTATTATTATTATTATTATTATTATTAATTTTTTGTTATATTTGTATTTTTTTTTTCAATAAAATATTCATTAAATTTAATATTTTGTTTAGAAAATAAAAAATATGTAAATATTTCACTTAAAACGCTATTTAATGGCACGATTATTTTATAGTGTCTGTACTGTACGGCTCTTTGTAGTACAGAAGACCTGTCCAAATCTAGCTGTAGATACATACAACTATATATATATATATATATACACAATCTTCAGAAGAATTAACAACTAATTATTTAATTTATATCCATAGTTTGGTAAATTTTTGTAACCAATATCGAAATCCCATTGCAAGAAATTGTATAGGCAAACTCCATTTCCAAAACTTGGGAATTCCAAAAAAAAAAAATTAAAAGGGAGTTTTGGCTTCAGACAATATCCGAATCCAAATTTCCTCAAAAATTTTAATTACAAATTGAAAAAAACAATTTCACTGCACTTGATCGGCGGCGGCTGAATCACGGCCGTCCAAATTCCCCAATTCGATCGGACGGTTACCGTCCTCCGGCTTCTTCTCCGCCGCGAAATCTTCTTCAGAACTGTTTTCGCTGCTCCCGGAGGTATTACTCGCCGCCGTACTTCCGAACGACGGCGCTCTGCTCGACGCCGGAGTGGCCAAGAAGGTCGGCTTAATTTGCCCGGCCATGATCACCAAGTATTTCTCCTCCATCACCGGCGGCGCCGGCTTCCCGTTTCCATCTCCGGCGGCGGCGCCCTCGCCTGCCTCGAGATCCCTCTCTCCGTCGCCGGCGTTGTGCTCGAGGTAGCCGGAGAGCTTCCAATAGGAGCAGGCGAGGATCAGGAGGGCGAAGGCAATGAGACCGAGCATGGCGGCCAATCCGCCGAAGAGGTACGGCACCGGCGAGTGCCACGGCGACTTTTGCACCGCCGCCGCCGACGGCGGCGGCGCCAACGACCCATCGTAACTAGACATTTTGATTTCTAAATCAAACGAATAAATATGAAATAGAAATATATATATATATGTATGTATATATTCTCTTTCGGAGTGTTCTAGAATGACCGTAGATTTTGCGGTGGTGGCGATACGGCGGAGACGGTGGTTTCAGCGGCGGTGGTTGTGGTGGAGCGGAAAGCTGTGATGAGTGAGATTTATAGGTGGGAAAGGGGAGGGGTCGTTTTGGAATTTAAGATAGTTATGGGGTTGAACTGAAATTATAGTAATTTTAATTTACAAGAATTTATCAATTATTTCGTCATATAAAGAAGGAGGTGGGCCATAGTAATAATCGCTACTTTTCTGGATCCGAACGCCTTTTAAATCTCGACCGTCAATTTTGGAGTAAGAAACGTACGAATGGATTGGATGAACCTGGTGCTCAGATCCCGGGTGCAGGAAACTTATTCGAATAAATCTAAATGATATCATAGACATGGTAGGATGTCTCTATTTTTATGATTGCTGGAAATGATGATAATTACTACTGTCAATTATGGTCAAAATAAAATAATGACAACTTTAAAAAATAAAATAAAATAATTTTAATTCGAAATAATATGTTATAGGATTTCACAAACAACTGTTGCTAAATGGTGGGAGTATTTAAATTGTAAGAAATGTAGTAATGATTGAATATTAAATTTTGATCGATGTAAAAAATTACAAGAATTTGTAAGAGCCGTTTGAATTTTGTCCTTACCATATATCATTTTTCTTCTAAACAATTGAATAAAATAAAAAATAATTCAAATTAAAAACATATAGTTTTGTCAAAATAATACTAACATTCAGCAAAACTTGATCCCCAAGTTTAGTGGAATCTTGAACAAAATTTTGTCTAAATACATTAGTTGGATCGAAATTCCAAAGAATCCAAAAATCAAGAACAAACTATTATTTAAAAAGGAAATTTTGAATGTAACATTTGATAATATAAAAACAATACGATGAATTGAGTGATTTAAATGTTGGGTGGATATAAAATAATGTTCAAACATTAATTCATATTGAAAATTATATAGAAGTTTTGCAAATTTTGAATTTTGTTTAGAAATAATAAAAAAAAAAAAAGTTAGTATATGAATTGATATTTTGTAATAATAATAATAAAAATTATAAAATGGTTGATACACCATTGTTTTTCTTTACTATCTTTAAAAAATGATAAATAAGATCGAATTATTTTATTCAATTTTTTACTATTAGAACTTATTAATAAAAAGTTATTTTTTAAATAAAATATCACATGGAGTATTATTATAGATAAAATAATAAAAATATGTAAAAATACAACCAAACATACATATTTTTATTTTTAACAGAAAATAATATCTATTTAAAGATACCTAAAATCCAACAAATTAAAAGTAGTTTATTTATTTAACCTTATTAATTTCCTCCCAATTGATATTTATTGTACTGTTAGAATTGCCATGTGATGTTTTGGAACTAATGAAAACGATTGAGTAAATTATATTTACAATAATACACAATTCATTTATTTATGTAAACATATATTTTTTTTTGTTAAATTAAAATATAAATAAAATACTTATCCGACCGGCTAATAAATATAAATTTATTTTTTACACAAAATTTTAAAACATAATAGTACCCCATCCGTCCCAATCCAAATGGGTCATTTGAGATTTTATTATAGATTAAGAAATAATAGTGTATTTTATTGGTAAATGAAAGTGTCTAATGGTATATTTGTAATTTAGATAAAAATTAAGAATATTTTGATATTAGCGTATAATTAATTTTACTAAAATAGAAAATAGATTCTTTTGAGAGAAACAGACAAAAATAGTAAAAATAATAATTTGAATCAGAACAAATAGAGCATTAATATTATCAACAACCCCTCCAATAATGCATGTTTAAAATGACAACTAACGGTTTAAATTTATTTCTTTCACTTTAATATTTCCTTCTTTTAACCAAAAAAAAAAAAAATTATTTTCTTAACGGAAATGTTTAGATGTGCTGTGAAAACTCTTAAACCAAAAAAAAGAGAGAGATAAATTAAGGGTGTGTTTGTAATCGAATTTTGTTCCTAAAGTTCACGTAGTTAGTGTAATTTTATCTCTAATTCCGTCTCTAATATCATTAGTAACGAAAAAAGTCAATTTAGGAACGAAAAAACTTCGTTACAAAATTGATAAATTTTTGTAGTGTATTTTTCATTTTTTATATTATACTAAAAATCAATTTTACATTCAAAACATCACATCAACACCTATTTATATCACATCATACAACTATTCAAATTCAAAATTTTTAATATTCAAATCCCAACTCAAAATCCAAAACCCCCAAACAAACACACCCTAAATGGAAATGTATTGAATGATTTATACATACTTTTTAAATTTTATATATCGCAATGAACTTTACTATTATCATTAAATCATATGTATATAATTAATTAAATACATTTTTCTATTGATTTTTTTCTAATATATGTCAAGATAATGTTTATTTTATATTAAAATATTATTCCATTTTTTTCTTAACATTAATACCCAATCATACACACATATTTTTAGCAAACAAAAGGCAAAGATTTGACTTGATTTGATTTTTTAAATTTTTTATTGAATTATAATATTTTATGAAAAAAATATATTTTTATAAAAAATTATAACAATCAAATAATAAAAATGTGAAACTAATAACTAAGTAAACAAAACTTTTGGATTTATTCTATTTGTATTGTTACGTGACATAATTTTTTATAAATATTATTACAAAAATATAATATATATTAATATTAAATATATATTTTATTTACTGATAACAGTCAATTATTCAAAATAAAATATTACTATTTTTTATATTAAATTCATTCAAAAATTACTATATATGAATTTGCATATTATTAAGTTGATTTAAATATTATCCAATATGCACTCAAAATTATATATATATATATATATAAAAGTGTAATATCCGACTTCCAAGTTGGTGTTAATAAAGTCTAAGGTAGTAATAATTCTTATTTCTTGAAGTCTTCAAAGTGGGTCTTCCTAAAGTCCTCCGCCGTCGCCGGTGGCGCCCACCGCCGTCCACCACCACTCCGGCGTCGATTCCGACTCCGAAGTACACGCCAAGGACACCCATTCTCTTTTACATATATAATTATATTTTATTATATATATATGGAACCCATTAAAAAATTATAATTAAAATAAAATAAATTTCCAACCCCTCCACTACTACTCATATTTTAAATAAATAATTATCTTAACACTTGGGATCAATCTTAGTGGAAGTATATAAAGTTAGTTAATTATTACAAATAATTTAATTAACCAATATTTTAAATTATATCCATTGATTGATTTAAAGTTAGTATAATTAATTAATTACAATGGATAATATGTAGTTTATTATTACTATAATATTTTGCTTTAATTTGTGGAGTGGATTTTCCACTTAGATCTTTTTTTTTTTATACCCTAATTATTTAATTAGAGAATAATTGATAGGCAAGTTTGTTTTGGTTTATTTTGTTTTTATTGTAATAATATATAAAAATGAAATCGAGATCAATACACACACGAAAAATAAAGTTTAATAATTTGATTTAATATTTTGTATCTTTTTTATAAATAATTGTGGGAGGTAATAATAACATAATATTGGAATGAAATGTAAAGTGAAGTGTTTCTTCCGTACACGATTGTAAACAATTCGTTAAGCACCTAATGGGAATTAGTGAAATTAATATTTAATAATAAAGTAAGTTACGTTGCCACCAATAATAATAATAATAATAATAATAATAAATTTAATGGCAGCCTTATCGACAGAATAATTTTAATTAATTTAGCACTATCATTAAACAAAGAATTATTTCACTGTCTACGTCGAATTTACTGTTAAGCTTTTGAAATTTATGCAAGAATATTACTATTAAAATTTATGCAAATAGTAAAATCTTGAATAAAAACTGAGTGTTGAATATAGTATTTTAAATAAATATATAATTTTTTAAATGAAAATTATGTATTTTTAAGGGTTTTTTAATTTTTTTTATTTTTATAAATAATACTAAAATTAATTTAAAAACGTAAGTAATAAGCAGTCTTATTATGGAAGATTACTGGGATCGAAATGACACATAGAATGTTGTACCACTATCAAATTCTAATATATCTATTACCACATATTTAATTAAGACTAAGATTCATTGATACCCATTTAAGTTGTTTAATGATTTGTTTATTTATTTATTTATTTATTATGATTACTATTATTATTATTAGGGTTAGTTGGTATGGGATTAAGGTGGTAGCTATTGGGACAATCATTGTAGAAGGGATAATGTTGGAATATATAATGGCACAATGATCCATTATTCAAAGTGGGGTTATTCTATATTTTATTTTATATACAAAATAACTAATTAATAAAGTGCTTTTTTTAAAACAAAAAAATAAATAAAATATTTTTTTTCGAATAAAAATGTGATGTAATATTTAGGAGGATAATTGTTGAGAGTAGAAATGTGAAAGGACAATACAATACATAAGACAAATTAAAAATAAAAAATAAAAATAAAAATAAAAATAAATAATTGTATGCTCTTTTTCTTGCTCTTTTTCTTACATTTTGGAAACAGGTTAAAATATGATTATTTTTCAAAAATATTATGTTCATTTTATTATTTTTTGTTTTTTGTTTTAAATTTTATTTTATTTTATATTTAAAAATTATAGTTATTTTGTATTTTTTTATTATAAAAAAAATAATAATTAGTACTTATTTTTAATAGAACTCTAACTAAATGAGCATAGAGTTCAATAATAGGGTACAATAATAATTAAAAGATTTTTTTGTATATGATTGAATATTTTTTATGTTGTTCAATAAATGAACATTCAATATATTTATTAAATGCTATTGAAAATAAAACAATTCATTATATTTAATGATGTGATTGATTACTTTGAAATATTTTTAAGTTTTTTCCTATGCATTTTTTTGTGATTTTATTTTATTTTATTTTCCTACGAAATATAACATTCAATATATTATTTAAACTAAAAATTATAATTAAAACCCAAAAAAATAATGATAATATTTAAGCATCAAAATAAGATTTGATTCAT